AGCTGAACTTCCCTGTGCACATAGTGGACTAGTAGGGCCCCGTGTAGAAGATGGGTTGTTTTGTAGGGCTAAGTGTAAGGCGCAAGAGAGAGAAGTGAGACCAACATCTTAGAAAGAATCAGAGGGAGGCTGTGGAGGGCGTTGCAGTGGGAGAAGAGAAAGGCCTAGCCTGGAGGGACTGTTAGTGAGACTGGATGCTGGAGGGGACCCAGGCTGGATGCGTGTCTGCAGGAGGCAGCAGGGAGCCACTGTGGGCTCTTGAGGAGATGAAGAACATGATGAAACCTGGGTATAGAGCTCTAGGCTGGACCATTGTCTCCAGGAGACTGAAGTATCAGAGAAAACCCTGGCTTTCTGACCTTGGCAATGCTGAGAACAGTGGAATAGCATGGAGCCCGAGCCTGATGGCATGGTTTGGGTCCCTGGCTCTAGCTGTGTGCCCTTGGGCAAGTTACTTAATCACTCTGTGCCAGTTTCCTCATCTGTAAAATGGGAACAATAGTAGTATCAACCTCTTCAGGTCATTTAGAAGATTAAATGAGAGACATATATTGGGCTTAGAATAGGGCCTGGCACACAGTGAGTGCCCTATTAGTGTTAACTATTGTTTCCAAAACTTGGTTTTCACCCAGAGGGAAATCTAAGTTGAAATGCCTGTAGTCATTTGAAAACACCGACTTAGATGTGGAGAGAAGAACTAAAGAGACTTAAATGTGGTCAGTTTTGCAATTGGCATCTCCTATGACGTTTGACATTGCCTCAAAACCAAGCATTTGCTTTTTTTCCTCATCTGTGTCTCACTTTCTCACTAAGAGTTAGTACTGCACTGTCTTCTCTAAAAACCAAATCCTCCAGCAACAGAAAGAAATGCCCTCCTCTTTATTCTCCCAGTCTTGGGACTGGGTTTTGTGTGACGCCCCTAACCCTTTTTTGCCCCCCTACCTTAGTCAGTGACAGATGGCCCCCCCAAAAATAAGCTGTCCTCCTTCACCCCCTGCCGGGAAGATGCTGGAGTTGACCCCAGCCACGTCAGGCAACCCCCAACGGTAAAGTTGGTGAGACAGTTTGTTTTGAGTGGGCACCACGGGGGAAGGAAAATAGCAGAGAGCCACTCCTAGCCGACGAGGCGGGTGAGCAGAATCCGGCCTTTCTTCCCTGCAGAATGTGCTGACTCGAAGCCGGCCAGGACTCAACTGGACACACTGTACGGGGGGCCAGGCCGCGCACTGTGTGACAGTCAGGCCAGGGAAGTAAGTTCCTCACCTCGGGTCCTCCGACGGCGGATGGGATGAGGCGATGCTGGACCTCAGTGGGGCCATGGCCAGGGCACCACCAAGGAGGGCAGAGAGGAAACTGTCATGAGACAGAGACTCTGTGGAGACAGAACATCCCCCGCCCTTCCTTAAGGAAAGCAGAAAAACCATTGTGGGTGCCCAGCGGAGAGTCCAAATACATTCCTAAGGGAAGGTCTTTAGTATCTTTAGCTTCAGAGTCTCACCCCTGTGGGGGGCGTCAGTACCACCGCCACACTGGGGCAGGAGTGGTTTCCTGTCTCACACTAGGCCTCTTTGAGAAAGAGAAGGCACAAGAGGGATGAATAAAGGGGAAATCAGATGCTGGTGCGGAGAGGCTCTTTGTGACTAGAATAAAAGCCTGAAAGGGAAAACCCGGAACTAACGGCAGGACGCCATTCCCCTGAGCACTGCGGCATGGGTTCATGCCAAACCTGTGGAAGGTATCCGTTGTCCTCTACGCAGTGCGGCCGGCTCTGTGGCAACGTTCTCGTCTTTTGTGTCCTTCAGATAATGCATCAAATCTCCTATTTAAAACCCCCACAAAAGGACATCCTCCTATGCAGAGGGCCCTGAGGAAGGGCTCTTCTCGAGTGAGGGCGCCGTTTCCCAGCGAGGGGTCCCGGGGCCTGGTGGGGTGGGGGGCTTCCATGGGGCTGTGAGCGAGGCCAGCGCCTCCCCACCCGGCACCTGCCCCCCCATGTAGGGGCGGCCGGCTCCTCTCCAAGTCCTCTCCCGCTGCGTCCCCAGCCCCTCCATCAGCGCCTCGCCCACCCGGCCGCGCCACCACCACCGGCTGAGGCAAGAAACCCCAGCCTCTATCTCCCCACATCAGCAGAATCTCATGGTTTTCGTGAAGATGTGGTTTTCGTGGTTGGCTGAAATCTGGCGAACGCGTCTTTGTGCGCTGCGTTGCCCGACAGTGATCAACACTTGAAGGTTCTCGAGTACACTGCTGGCTTCCTGGGGGTGGTCTGCGTAGGGTCCCTTGAATTGGGAGGAGCAAATGCCACATGGAGTGTGTGTACCGCTTCCGAAAGGTGCTAAGAGTTCCAGATGGAGGTTTTAGGGAATATTGCCTCTGACGGCAGCGCAGACTCTTCCAGCACGATCTGTGTTATGATGGGATGTAATAAACTGCCCACTGCTGACAGGACTCCAGAAGAGCCAATCAGGGAGTGTAGAGAGGCTTCTAGGCTGGGACATGGGGTTAATCTGGATGACCTCCAAGGTGCCTTCCAATCCCAAATTCTCAGATTCTCTTGGGACAGTGATTTTGGAATCCTGTGGGGCTGTAGGGAGTGGGGCTGGGGTGGATCCAGATCTTAAGATCTCGAGTGTTACTCTGGAGGGAGGACAGTCGCAAGGCTGAAAGGATGACAGTTGGAGAGTGGGGACTGGCCAAGTCGATGAGGATAAGAGAGAGGCCCTGGGCACTTAGCCAGAGCCTATAAGAAGGAACACCGCATGGGGTGAGGGGCGCCTGGGTGCTCAGTTGGATAAGCGTCTGACTCTTGGTTTCAGCTCAGGGCATGAGCTCAGGATTGTGAGATCGAGCCCTTGTGTTGGGTTCCACACTGAGGGCAGAGTCTGCTTGAGATTCTTTCCCTCTTCCTCTCTGTCCCCCTCTGCCCCTCCTCTCTCTCTCTCTCTTTAATTAATAATTATCTTAAGAAAAAGAAAGAAGGGGCTTGGGGACTGGCAGGGTAATTAGAAAAGAAAATGAATGGATCCTAAGCCCTCTTGGTTATAGAGGTTGAGAGGAACTAAAAGTCTGTTTGCACTAAAACATGCCCTCTGGCTCTTCCTTGTTGCCTGAAATCTTAGCCACTTGGAGCAATATCTCTAGGGAGCAATCTCTCCAGGAAGCTGTTGTGGAATTGAGCATGTGGGCCCTGCAGATAGGGGACTGTGTTAATACATTCACAGCTGGCAATACCTCTGCCCAATACTAGACAACCCCTTTTCCTTCTCAGGGTCCCAGGGTGCCTGGGTGCTGAGGAGTTCTAGTACGTTTTTATAGGTTCCATGAGATTTTCTACAAAACAACAAGCTATCTGAAAGACAGTTTGAATCCATCCTTTCCAATCTTGCCTTTTCTTTCTTTTTCCTTGCTTTATTGCACTAGCTGGGACCTCTGGTATCGTGTGAAATTAGAGTGATGAGTATGGATGCCCTTGTCTTGTTCCTGATCTTGGGGAGAAATCAGTTAGTTTTTCATCACTAAGGATGAAGTTGGCTGTAGGTGTTTTTACAGAGGCCCTTTTTCAGATTGAGGACTTTTCTTTCTATTTTTTGTTTGATGAGAATTTTTATTAAGAATGGGTTTAAATTTTATCAAATGCCCTTTCTGCGTCTGCTGAGACGATACGATCCTTTTCTTTCTTAAATAGTTAATGTTCTGTGTTACATTCACTAAATGATTCAGATCATGGACTCTATTCTGTCAACGAAACTCCTCCCAGCTCTGTTTAATACTTCTGAAGCTGTTTTTAAGCTTAGGTATAATGGATCCAAAGCAGCCTTGACTCTTGGGCCAATTTAGCCTCACTACTGAGACAAGACTTTTCCAAGGACTTTACCCAGTGTCTCATCATTTTCTGAGATCTCTCTGCTTTGCCCGATGGGAATGAAGCCCTTTCCCTGGGCAGGCATGAGAGTTGTATAGTGAACTTCCTGTTTGTCCCTGCCCTGCCTTGTAGAGTTTCACTCTGGAGGTCATTGCTCAGCCAAAGACCCAATGACACCCGTCTGAAGTTCTCCAGAGCTCTGTCTGCACAACCTCCTCCTTCTGCCTCATGAATCCTAGCTACCTCTACCTCCCCAGAATCCAGCTTTTGTCACCTCACCTCAGTGAAATTGTGGGGCTCTATCTGGGTACCACTCCCTCTGCGGCTGTCTGGAAACTAGCTGCCAGCATGACCAGGGCAGTCGGATCATACTCCTAGTTTCTTCCTTTCTGACGGGGATCAGAATGCTGTGCGGTCCGTAATCCATGCTGAGAGGGGCCACTGCATAGATTCTTACCCGCGTCTAGCCGAGAGGGACCGGTCCACAATTCTTGGAGTTAGGGCTCCCCAGGAACGGGGCAGACCATCCACCCACACTATCACCATCCGTCTTAAGGCTTGTGCTAGAACAACTTTACCCATTTTGCTCATTTGGTGAAAAGCATTTGACATTCCAATTTTGCATTGGAATGTCACAGAAGAGCACACAGAATCAGATCTCTGCTGCTCACTTAGTGGCCTCAGTGATGATGGAGCCTGAGCTCCAGCTTCCCTATAACGAGAGTCAGGATGACTGAGCAGCCTACCGCTCCAGGATGTTGTGAGGAAGAAACCAACAATGCAGGGGACAACACCCACCCTTCCGGACACCACACATACCCCTCTGTGTGCTCCATCCTTCCCGCAGGCAAACGGGCTCAGGACTTACTTTCCTTCCACTCTTGCCATGCTTGCCCCTTTTCTGGTCCATTCCCTGTTGGCCCAGCCAAAGGTCCCTAAGATATTCAGAAGAGCCACCTGGAAATATGAGTCTTTAATGAGTTTATATCATGCTGCCATCCTAAAATGGCCACAGAGTCTTAGGTATTTGGTTGTTGAAGCTCCTTCACCCTAAAAGTGCAACTTGTGATATGATATTACAAAGTGGGGTACCAGAATTTTTTGCATTACAGGCTAAGAAATCATTTCCTCCCTTCAGGGCCGCCTGGAACCACAGGAACTCCAGGGGAGAAGGGAGACCCTGGTGAGCTGGGCTTGACTGGAAATGAGGGCCCAGCAGGGCCAAAGGGTGACAAAGGAGACAAAGGGGACGTGTCCAATGATGTGCTCCCCACAGGTAAGCGGCCGGGCCCAGAAATTGGCCTAGTTTTTAGGACAAATGCTGCTTGGGTCTTCTCTCCTTATCTGCTTTATGTGCCCATCTGCTTTGCAGCATGTTTTAGAATTCTGTGCTTTCAAAAACTTGTGCATGCTATCCCAACCTTGGTGAGACAAAATCTGAGATCTAAGCAGAAGTAGTTTAGATAATCCCAGTCCAAACATCATGGTTAGATTGAATGAGGATGAAGGGAGCTTCCTTTTTCCAAATATCTATTAAGTCTAGCACAATCTAGAACAAGACGAGTAAGCAAGCAATTTAAGATACGTCAGAGGACAACTGACAGAAAGCTCAGGCATTTTCCTCACAGTCCAGGTAGGGAAATCTTCAGATCTTTATCCTAAACATTTTGACGTAGAATTGGAGCAGACTTGGTTGCTGATCTCCTTTTTCTGGTTTCCAACCCAGGCTCAGAGCACACAGTTGGCACCTGGCAGGGGTGGGGGGTATAGAGACCCAGCAAACCACAGAAAGACATGGTGGAAAGAGTAGGTGACAGCTGATGGTCATGGACAAGGAAGAGGCAGAAGAATTTTATAAGCACAGTACTTCAGAGACCACTTCTATCCTAAAAATATAATTATCCTTATGTATTCAATAAATATTTTTGAGTGTCAAAGAACACCATTTATGAATTAGAACTTTGCTAGTAGCTGGGAATATGAAGATGGAATTGAGACAGGACATCTGTCCCAAAGAAGCTGGGATGATAGATGGTCAAGAACAATGACCCTGAAGCAGTTGCCCATCTAGCCACTCAAAATGTGTTGAGCACCTACTGTTTGCCTGGTACTGTGCTAAGACCAAAGCTCAAATTATGTTTAGCATGATTTGTTTCTTAAACAGGGAGGTTGCTGTACAAAATACATAAAATTTAGGAAGTGTTTTGACAGGATCAAATATAGGTGAATATACTTTGAAAACACGAGACCATGTTATACTTCAGTTATATAGGAATTTATACATCCCAACTGCTATACTCCCCTATACCTCTTAACAAGTGAGGGGTGTTGACAAACCATTCAGGAAAAACTACGTCCCTGTGTGTACCCCAATTCCAGAGAGCGGCCAGAGCTGAGTGTCCGCTGGCCAGAAAGCCAACAAGGCATCTGAGGGTGGATCTTGTCTGCCCTGCCTCTAGGTCTCTGGCCCTTTCAGAGTGGGCTTGGACTTGCGTCTAGCCTCTGGGACCCTGGCTTGCCCCTAGAGAGCCTAGAAAGGCTTATCTAGTCTGGCTGGGAAGAGGTGGCTAATAAGACCTGAGATCACCAGTCAGCTCAGGATGGGAGGGTAGAACCAAAGAGCTAAATGACCCAGCCTCGTGGCATCCTTGTGAATGGTCCAGACAATAACACCTGCAATAGGCTGTACCCATGCACAGTGGCCACCTAAAGTCAGAGCACTCACAACAGTGACCTCAGTGTCTTCTCACGGGGCAAGACAGGGAGGATGAGACTCAGTCTGGAAATGAAGAAACAGGCTCAGAGTGTTAAGCTGTCTGCCCCAGGTCACAGGCCCAGCAGGCTCGCCTGATCTCTTCTACCCCACAGAGCAGTGCTTCTCACACCTGGTGGCATATGAGGAGGCTCTCAAAAATACAGACAACCTGTTGTCATTTGACCTAACTGCTCTGGATGGGGTCCCAGCATTAGAATTGTATTAAATCACCTTAGGGGACTCTAATAAGCTGTCAGGGTTGAGATCCTCCAACAAGGCGGGTGAAACGAGCACAAGCTTTGTCTTTGTCCCGAGACACACCTAAGGTTCAGTTCCACCGCTGTTCCCGGTTGTGACCTTGGGCGAAGCACTGAACTTCCCCAAGACTCAGGTCACGAAGGGGCTACTAATACCATCTCACAGATGATTGGAAAGAACAATGGAGAGCAGATTTGTAAAGTTCTTAGCACAGTTCCTGGCACAGAGTTGGAACTCAGCGTCTTCTATGGCTGCTTCCTCAACTTTGCATGGACAAGTTCTAGAATGCAGTTATGTCCGGGAAGGGGGCGCTCGGCCATCCTCCCTGGGGCTGCTTATTCTCCTTTCCCCTGGGAGAAACCCATCTCTGTTTATGGCTCTTGAATCAAACTTTCTCCCCGCCCCCCTTCTCTCCCCAGGTGCTAAAGGTGACCAAGGCCCACCTGGACCCCCTGGACCCCCGGGCCCTCCAGGTCCCCCAGGACCGCCTGGAAGCAGAAGATCTAAGGGCCCTCGGCAGCCAAACATGTTCAATGGCCAGTGCGCAGGTCACTAGCCCCCGCCCCGGGGAACCCAACTCTTTGGCTGATGATCCCAAACAGTCAGGCTTCACCCAGGCTTTGCAACCAGATTTCTTAAACAGAGGCTTTGCCTAAAGCAAGAGCTCCCCTGTGCACCAGGCCGGTGGGCTGCTTTGGCGCTCTGCTCTTGGGGTGAGAACTTGTAGCAGGTTTAGAATTGGGCCCCCCACAACCTCCCCTGCTCACCCTCCCCTCGTTTATCCCCAGACTATTCCTCTTCCTTGCCAAACCCACCATCCCTCTCCCCCAAAACAGTCTCAGAGGCCAAGCCATTCACTCTGGGAGCGTGAAGGGCTTGGCTTATGTTGGGGAGACGAGGCGGGGTTTCAGCTTGGTTACCTCCCCATGGTTCTCCAGTTCTGTCCTCTCCGCCGCTCCACTTTGCGTGCTGACCACGGTGCTAAGTGCTTAGTTCGCTAGAGGCTCACAGCAATGACATGATACGCCAGTCGGTACTGCCACCAACTTAGAGATCCCGAACTGAAATGCCCAGGAGCTGTGTAGCTTGACCAAGATCACTCAGTAAGTGACAGAGCTGGGACTCACATCTGCTGGGCTCTAAAGCTCTGCTCTGAGAGCTTCTTCCTTTCAGAGCTGGAAAGTCACACTTTGGGACTAAGCCAACCAAGGGCAAAGGGCGCCTGATCTCTGGAAGGCCAAGAGGACTTGCCCATGGCTCAGTCGGTTCCAGAGGTGGCCACGGGACTGAAAGCTAATTACAAATGAAGGGCCACGTTAATGAAAAATACTTCCAAGGTGAGGCTAGAACTTCCCCCTCCAAGAGGCCTTCACTGCCGTTCAGCATCACCCTCTCTGTGAGCATCAGTTCTTTGTTCAGCTGCCCTTGGAGAATGAGCTGAGCAGGAACCTTTGACTGGGAGAAGGGGGTTTCTGACCTGAGCATTTGCCACAGGCTGTGTCAGCCAGGACAGGGGTGCAGGGAGAAGCAGCTGCCCCTGCCTCGCCTGCCTACTGAGAGGCTGGTCAGCAGGACCTAGGCCACAGAGTTGTGAAAACTGCTTAAATGAGAGGCCGTGGTCTTCCACTCTGCCTCCTAGAAATGAGTCCTCGGTTGCCAGGCATTGTGCATCTGAACTTGGCCTTCTCTCCTCCTCCAATTCCATTTCTTTAAGCCCCCTCCTGCCCCCACAGCTTTAGAATCAGGTTAGTACAACATGAATTAATAAGAGCCTTTTCTTCAGACTAAGAACAGGAGGGTCTCTCTGTCCCTTTCCTGGGCAAAACCCACGTTCCTGAACAGAAACTCCAGATGGAACTCAGAGGCAGCAGGAGTCATCACACTGTTCCCAAGACTGCTCTCATCAGGGGACAGGAAGATCAGGGAAACACAGGCTCATCCTGCTAGAAAGAAGCTTAGAGTACAGGGGGTCCTGCCCTTTATTTTACTGATAAAGAAACCTCTCTAGATTATTCTGTAAGCTTCCCTTGGAACAATGGAGGTACCCCTAGCACCTAACTAAAAGGTGAGTTGAACCCCTCAGAATTGTTCTAGGCAAGTGGGCTGAACTCCAGAAAGCTTTACTTGTCCCCAACTGCCCCAGATCAGGTCCTTCTCCCCAGCCAGTCCACTCCCTCTGTCTTTATACTGGCCACCTTCCTCCCTTTTGTCCTGCTTCTGCCAACCAGGGACACCTCTTCACCAGAGATCTGAATTAAGCCCATCTGTTAAAGGGAACAATTACAACCCAGGTAGGATGGCTTCTAGCTCAGGTATGGCCTCAAACCAGCTGTGAATCAGGCGCCTGTTGAGGACCCATGTCCCGTAGACCTTCAAGACAACAGGGGTAGGAAATGGTGGAGGGAAGCTCAAACATCTCTGGGCTCCTTCTCCCTCTGTGGCTTCTCCCTTTGGCTGTCCAGGAAGACAAGGTAAAGGGGGCCACCACTATCATGAGGCTCTGTCAGTTTCCCTGAAAGTGTAAATCCTTCCAGGAAAATGCAATCCATGATAGTGATACCACCAGGCCAGAGCAGCCAAGAAGCATCCGTATGGCTCTCCCCTCCCCCACCCCCAGAGTGCTGAGGGCTTGAATAGGCCGCTTTTTCCCTTTGACTGACACCTTCTTGGGATTGCATTATTTTAGTAACTGTGATGATGGATAGTTGTTGGGAACTCCCCCAGCAGAGAGTGGGGATGCCAGGGGCAGGTGGCGGGGAATTGGAAGTATTTGACTTGTTGCTTAAAAGCAAGCAACTAAAAAACTCGGTGCACCTATTGTAAGGGATGCTTGTAGGACTAGAGCCTGGGGCGAAGTGGGGAAAGCACCAGTAATAAAGTTACATGACTCTCCCTGTGCCACCTGCATTTGCTCTGACGATTGTCAGCGTTGTTGTAGGTGAGACGTGTGCCACACCGAACGATGGTACGTTGGTTGGAAAGGCTGATGAGAAGGCCGGGGATCACCATTCTCTACCAGCAGGTACGTGAAGCAGAGCATCTTGTTTTGAAATTCAGAAATTGGATGCCTTCAAGTCATGATGAGTGATTTTTCTTTTTCTCCCTTTGGTAGAATCTGTGATCGCTTCCATCGGGAGTCCAACACAAGTACTGAAAGTTAGAGAGACATTTGGGACGTGGATAAGAGAGTCTGCGAACAAGAGTGATGAGAGGATCTGGGTGACGGAACATTTCTCAGGTAACTTCCCTTGGTGAGGAGGCCGATCCGTGTGGGGCTTGTGCCTTTCATTGGGTTCATTCTACGTCTGTGTATCTGAACCCCCTCCTGATTAGGGTCACACAGAGGCTCTTTGTTTTCCAAAGCACAAGTGAGTGGGCGGCACACTTGTCTCAGTTGAGCCCACTGGGGACAAGCCTTGCAGGTCAGGTCCCAGGGGCAGCCCCAGGGTGCTCCCAATGTCGCTTATTCAGTTTTAGGCGAAATATCTAGAAGGAAACAAATAGCCTTATGATGACAGCCTTATCAAGCCCAAAACCATAATGTGGAAGAAATGTTAGAGACAAATTCTTGCGTGCTGTCTGTCTTTCTTTAAGGAGAGCACTCTTGGCCATCTTTCTGAGAGCTCTTTAAGACAGACAGCCCAGGGGAGAGGGTGAGGTACCCCCTTGCCTCCAAGCACGACTCCAGTTGCGTGGCCCTGGAGGGACAGTCAGGACCACCATCAGCGGTAGCAGTAGCCTCGTTCCAGAAAGGGTCTGGCCATTCTCACCAATCAGAGCGATTGCTGAGACATGACTTCATTTCCTCAGGGCTGGGTGACGGCCCAGGTTACCAGCTGGGAAGGACTCTGTGGCTCCGAAGGAAGGAGGAACACTCAGCAGGGGCAGGAACAGGCAGAAGGGATTACACGAGGGCCAAGATTTCGCTGCTGCTGGTCCAGGCCTCTGTGGGTCTGATAGAAGACTTTATAAATAGTCTAGAGGGGTCCTGGAGGAGCAAAGCCAACTCTGTGGCTTCTGCCATGGAAGGACGGTTCAGGAAACAAGAGAAGAGAATTGGCCTTGAGTCTGGGAGTCTGAGACTCCAACCTGGACATGGACCCTTGCTAGACACCTCATTCTCAACTTACGTCCTTTTAACGTCCTCCCCCTACTCCCTCCCATGCCTTTCCCTGGCTTCTCCCCTGCAGGCATCAGGGTGAAGGAATTCAAAGACCAACCCTCACTGCTGAACGGCAGTTACGCACTCGTGCAGCTGCCGTATTATTTCCATGGCTGCGGGCATGCCGTTCACAACAACTCTCTCTACTACCACAAAGGAGGTTCCAACACCATAGTGAGGTGAGTCACCCGGGCCACAGCTACCTTGCTCACGCATCCCAGACAGCACCTGTGTGGTAGCTCACTGATCCGGGAGCTACTTAGGCGTAGGGAGTGTGGTTCCCTCATCTTTCTGTCCTCAGAGCTTCCACACAGGGGTCAGTCAGGGTTTGCTAACTGAATGAACCACAGGACACAGTGAGGGAGCCCCATGACCCAGCCAGGGATCTGCCGTATTGCTGGTGGAGACATCAAGAGTAAGGTCAGAGCCAGAGAGAAGTAGATCTGGAGTGATAAGGGCTGTAGCTCTCTTAGCCCTGGAAAAAAGAGGCAGGCAGAACCTAGCGCTCCCCTGTCAGGAAGGCGTCACACCTCGAAGTCGGTTGTATTCTGAAAAACTTGGGGTGTGAGAATTTCATGTCATAGCTCAGATCATTGAAGACTAAAGACTGAACACAGTGCAAAGTCAGGGAATCTCTGTGTTCAGATTGAGCTGTCGTCCTGATGGAGCCCTGGCCAGGCCCCCTCTCCTCACCTTTGCTCTCCTAAGGGGAAGGGAGATGGCTACCTGGGTAGACTGAGCCATGTCCTCCTGGTTCCCCCAAAGAATTGCTAAAATTCTGTCTTTGTGGCTTAAGAAGACATCAAGTTCTGGTCTTTAGAGGCAGAAGCAGGTCATCTTGGATAAATCGAGAAAGCAGGGAACTCAGTCAGGTTCCATCTTTGCCTACTGACTCCATGGCCTTGGACAAGACTCCACCTCCTGGGGTCTGCAGGTCCTCAGTAAAAATGAGAAGATGGACCAGAACTTCTGCAGCCGTCCAGCGGCAGCCCTATCTGAAATAATCCCAGTATTATGAAAGCCATGGTCCGAGTCATTCAAAACAAGAGATAAGGACCTGCGGGAAAACTGGGTCCCACTTCTCTCACCCTCATAACCGCCCCCCCGCCCCCCACCCATGAAGCCCAGCTGCAACAACCTTGCTGGCACTGGAGTGTTGGTTAGGCTGGGGGCAGGACACATGTGAGCTATGGCTGGAAGCGTTCCACCCCCCTTGGCCTCTCACTCCCTTCCCCCACCATTTCAACAGCTCCTTGGCTACCTCTTTCGCACAGTCTTGTGCTAACAGAAAACCGCAACCAAACCCCTCCTGTTTAGAAGCCGGGACTCTCCAGACACACTCCTTCTGGTGCCCTTTCTCCCATGTAATCCTACAGCTTCTTCTTGCCCCCACCCCCGGCCAGGCTGTGTTTCCATAGGAACGAGCATGGTGAAGGAGCTCAGGGGTGAATGAGCCCCAGAAAGAGGATTGGCCACTCCAAGAAAGAGTGGCTTCTAATGAAACTTAGCCCGAGTGATGCGCTGCTTAGGTCTGTCCTGCAGCCCTGCTCTCCGCCAGCCACAGGGGAACTAGATCCCGTTTCTCCTGTGAGAGACAAGTCCCTTCAAGAAACGCACCACCAGGCACCAATACCAGAGCAATGGCAGTCCCGAACTCCAGGCATTCAGAGGACAGAGAAGACCATGAGCTGAGCCGGGCAGGCAGGCTCTTCTCAAGCCCTCACTTGCCTCTGGCTTCTTTTTGCACTTACTTCAGGGGTTCCTAATTGGCTTCCGGCTTGCGAGGCTCCCGCACACAGTCCCACCGTCCCCATTTCTTCTGCTGCTCAATGGCACCCTCTTGTGTTCTTCTTTTCTTTTAGCCCAATGTTCCCGAATTCTCGTTCCTGGAGTTAGGGTACTTTTGTATCACAGTCAACATTTCTGATCAGGGCTGGGTGTGGAGTCTGCCAAATCAGCCTCCAAGAGCCGAGGGCGGGGGACTCCCTGCTGTACCTCAAGTTATCCCATCACTTTCCTGATGAGAAAACTGCCCTCACGGCAGTGACTTGGCTCCATCTCTTCCCAGCTGACGACTTCCTGCTTCATTTAGACTGTTGTGACATGTTTGTTTTTAAAACTCCAGCAGAGGTAGAGGAAAAACCCCCAAACTTGCAGTTAGAAAACTTAAATTCAAACTCTGGCTACTTACTGATGTTCCCGGGTCAGTCACTTCTCCTTTCTCATTTGTAAAATGAAAAGACTGGACTAGCTCATTTTTTAAGGCCTCCTGCAGGTCTAAGAATCTTGGAGAGGACATTTCAGGAGATTAGCAAACATCCGAGAATCAGGAGAGTAAGGAATGTTCCTGGGTCACGTGGCTGCAGGTGGACCCTCAGATGGTGTCACCATCCTTGACATCCTTGATGCGCAGACCACTGTGAGTCAACCAGTAGAATGGGCATGACCTGGAACTTAGAAATGCAGAGTCCCAGGCTCCACCCAGTTTAATAGAGGATAGCCACAAACAAAGCCACCGCTGTCCTCAAGAATGCTGACTCCTATCTGCCCTTTTATACATTTCAGATTTGATTTTGGCAAAGAAACATCCCAAACTCTGAAGCTTGAAAATGCCCTGTATTTTGATCGAAAATACCTCTTTGCAAATTCCAAGACTTACTTCAACTTAGCTGTGGATGAAAAGGGTCTTTGGATTATCTATGCTTCGAGTGTGGATGGCTCGAGCATTCTCGTCGCCAAGCTGGATGAGAGGACATTCTCTGTGGGGCAACACATCAATACCACGTACCCCAAAACCAAGGCTGGCAATGCCTTCATTGCCCGGGGGATCCTTTATGTCACAGACACCAAAGACATGAGGGTAACATTTGCTTTTGATTTGTTAGGAGGGAAACAGATCAATGCTAACTTTGATTTAAGAACTTCCCAGTCTGTTCTTGCCATGTTATCATATAATATGAGAGACCAGCATTTATATTCGTGGGAAGATGGCCATTTAATGCTTTATCCTGTGCGGTTTTTGTCATCTACATTAAACCAGTGAAGAGAGGCATCCTGTTCCCCCTCAGCAACTTTCAGATTTCTCTGGCATCATTTATATCCCAACATAAATCTTGTCTGTAGAGTAACCAGGTACTTAGCTGTCATAATCTCATGACATGAGTGTTGATACGGTCAGGGAATCCCCTTTACGTTCAGATTCCTTAGGGTGAAATAGCAAAGACGAAGTCAAAATGGCTGAGATTTTGTGATTTCTCCACAGACTAGCTGGCCAACTTACCCCTCCCTCGTTAGGCCTTGTTTTTCCGACTGGTAATAGGCAAGGCCTGGCGAAGATGATTGGCAAGAATTCCTCCACCTGTAGGAAACTCCATGATTCTCGCTGTTGCTCCCCTCCCAGCGGTTATACATTTGGTTTTGGATTTCGGGTATTTAGCCGCGTGCTGAGCAAATTTACCTCCGAGTTTCTAAGCCCAATAACTTGAGCAGAGAATTCCTGAGTACTGACTTGTTTTCAGTGCCTAGGGAAGCCGCTTGGACCCTTTCAGGCTGCGGAGGAACCAGATTGCCCGTAATTTATTACCTTTCTCTGCCTCTGCGCCTGCCACCCCAGCACCAGAATGATCATTATCCTCAGCTCCCAATTGCCCCTCCAGGATTAACAAAAAGCCAGGCACAGGCTACACGCTCGGGTTTGCTAATAAAGCAGAAACAGGCCCTTCTGGGCTCCCATCCATCTCTGAGCATGCTGATTTGCAGGTGTGGATAAATGTTGACTCCTCAGGTCGTCCCGGCTTCCACAGCGACGCCTCTGTCCTCAGAGAACTAAATATTGTGTAAGTAGGCACGAACCTGGCTAGAGCCGTGGGACGACGCCCTTGCCAGTTCTCCAGAGAGGCACGGTATGTGGCTATTATCTAGAACAGGGACAGACCGACTACGGCCCTGAGGCGAAGCATGCCCACTGCCGGTTTCTGTAAGTTGTGCTGGAATGCAGTCACATGCATTTGCTTATGCAGACTAGTTTGTGACTACTTTAGCAGAACTGAGTCATTGCAAAAGAAGTTGAGGAGGGGCCCGCAAAGCCTAAAACACTTACCCGCTGGCCCTTTACAGCAAAAATCTGCCGATCCCTGATCTAGGATATAAAGCGAGCCTGTTGGAAGGTTGATTCACCAGGAGCCCTTTGTTATGTTTTGTTTTGTTCCACATTAAGAAGGAATAATTTATATGGTTTGAGTGTTTGGTCGAGGGGAATGGTGGGAACAGCATAAAATTAAGTGGCCCTCCCCAAAAGCACTTTGTAAACTGTTCTTACCCTAATAATAATCTCCTTGGATGCCAGGGGGGAAAATCCGGCATAATTTGCACCTGAATGCCCTTAAGCATGTATTTCCTGCCAAATCCGTTCTTCACACATTCTGCAGCCTGGGGTCCAGGCAGGGCTGGAAAGAGGAGAGAGGAATCTGGAAAGTTACTGGGGTCCCAAGGCCAGGAAGTGGATTTAGGGAATTTTACCACTTTGTCTTTGTTGAACTCATGTGTGTGAGGGAGAAGAGCTATACGCTCGAGGGTTTTTCCCCTGTGACTTCCAATTCACATTTGGGAGGCCCGGAGTTGTGGCTTTATACCGTATTAATAAAAGCATTTTGAAACTTAAGGGCTATAGAGATTTGAATATTTAAATCCCCTAACCCTGAAAACACTTGGGCAGCTACTGGAGACTTTTGATATTGTTGTATTCTCAAAATAGCAGGTGTTTGAAACTTTTTCTCCACTTTTCTATTGGATTGGTTGTGTCATGTCAGCATAGCTTTGGAAAAAAATACTCTGCAGATTTATGTTTAAGATTTATGTTTATGCGTCTAATGAATACTAGTCTTCTTCATTTAAATATATGTGTTGCTGTTTCTGGACACAGGGGACCTCAATATGAATACAGCTCCATAGTAAAAGTGGTATTGGTAATAGTAATATGTACAATGCTAACTATATATATGGTAGCAACCTAAAAAGGTTATTGAATGAGCACATACTTCTTTTAGAACAAATTTTTTAGAAACCTCAGTCTTGATATCTGAGCTATCCTGGTTCCCTTAATTGTGGGGACAGAATCATATACTTATGGCTAGAAAAGCTCAGTTGGGATTTTTTTTTTTTTTTCCTATGGCAGAGTAGTACCAGGACAATAGAGTCTGACCGAGGTATAATGGGGAATGCTATAATATGCTTGAAAGTTTGTCTTTACAGAGGAGAGACTTTATAAGATTTGAAAAACTTAGAAAATTAAGATTTTACTCATTCTTGCCAGCAAGCACTACTTTATTTAAAAAAAAAAAAATGGTTTGGGCTCACTGTTAGAACATAAAATCTAATGTTTTGAAACCAAGATAGCACTTTAGAAGTTCACGCTGTCACTTATAATCAAAGTTGTTTTAAAGCAGTTTCCAAATATCAGTACTTCTGATGTCAGAATCAGAGCTGATAATGCTCTAATTCTTCTTTAATCTGAAGTAGATAGCTTTTCCCTGGAAAGTAAATAACACCATCCTCCCAACCTCAGCTGTAGGCCAGACCCTATTTCAAAACATTTTCTCTCAAACCGATAATGTGTCCTGTTTGAAGCTCTGCAGGCAACCGGAGTCTCTGTGTATCACTAAGCACAGGTGTCAGGAGAAACAGTTCTGGGGTGAAAGTTTTAAAATGAGGTGTTCTGGTCTTCACGCCCCACCCCCCACAGCCCTTTTACCATCAAGGTTGCAAAGTGAAGGATCAAATGAAACCCTGTGATCCTTGAGAGTCAGGAGTCCTTTTCCAAGTGCAAGAGGACATGTGGGCTGTGACTATCTGATGTCAAACCATCTGAAGAAGCACGTGATGGGACTTCTCAGTTTTCAGCTGCCGTGACCTGGTGGGCGTGCTATCAAAAAAAAAAAAAAAAAAAAAAAAAAAAAAAAAAAAAGCCATGGTTTCCAGATCTGGACCATTCTGAGCAACAAACGAATTATGGTGAATGGCTCTTTTTTGGTTGTCATTTATTTAATGTTAGTCCGTAAAATAATCACTGCTGGATACAATCACATGTTGAAACAAGTGTATTCTTATATTTATCTCTCATTAATCCCCATGTCGCATCTGAAAGGAAAAAGTAACCACCGAAAACAATCTGTGGAAGAGGGACACTGGTTGGTCCCAGTGAAACTCTTGCAATTTGCTAACTCCTTCCGAAAACTGAAAAGTCATGGCTACGGACTGTGTGTTCTCTATAGGGAATCATGAAAGCTCTGTAAAACCATAATGTAAAACTAGTCACTAGAACCAGAAGCAGATAAATGCAGTGGAGATTTGCTACTTTATTGGCATAGGCAAAGCCACTTGAAAAGGACATCACCTCTTGGCCTAAAAGGACAGATTTAAAAAAAACTGTGTGAATTGGGGCAGATATCTTCACCCCTCAGTGCCTCTGTTTCATCTGTGAAATGTATAATAGTGTTCCCACTTCCTTGAATTTTTCTATGTGAGATGAGAAATGCTATGAAAATTGTACAATTCTTAAGAAATTACTGTTGTTCCTTTCATAATTCATCCCTGCGGAGAATCAGAGTGACCCTGTGGTTCTCACACCCTAAGTCAGGGGCTGCAGAGATGGGTCAGGATCATGGCATCCTGGTTTCTGCCTACTGGCCTGTTCGATTAGGTAGTTAACACTCCATACCAGCACTACACAAAAAAGCGTTCTTAGTTCTACAACAGGTTTACAGTAAAACTGGCCCACAGGAAAAAAAAATAACTGCTTGAGAAGCTATTGCTGTGACCCGTAAAGTTCTTTCTAATCTCTGCTTTCTAACATCTGTGCTACTGGGTAGACCATGCATTCACTGATGATAACTTTTGTAAATAAAAGATTACAAAGCAAAAAGAAAAGCCTATTAAAAAAAAATAGTAGTCTTGCCACTTCATTTTTTTTTTTTAATTTAAATTCAAGTTAGTTACCATAGAGTATAATGTTGGTTTCAAGGGTAGAATTTAGTGATTCATGCCTTACATATAACACCCAGTGCTCTTTACATTATGTGCCCTCCTTAATGTCCATCACCCGGTTACCCCATCTACCCCACTACCTCTCCTCCTGCAACCCTCAGTTTGTTTCCTAGAGTTAAGAGTCTCTTATGGTTTGCCTCCCTCCCTGTTTGTATTTCATTCTGTTTTTCCTTTCCTTCCCCTATGTTCATCTGTTTTGTTTCTTAAATTCCACATATGAGTGAATTGTCTTTCTCTGACTAAATTTGCTTAACATAATATACTCTAGTTCCATCCATGTCCTTGTAAATGGCAAGATTTCATTCTTTCTGATGGGTGGAATATTCCATTAAATGTATATATCACATCTCCATTCATCAGTTGATGGACATTTGGGCTGTTTCCCATAGTTGGGCTATTGTGGACATTGCTGCTATAAACAAGGGGGTGCATGTGCCCCTCTGAGTCAGTATTTTTGTATCCTGTGGCTACATATCTAGAAGTGCAATTACTGGGTCATAGGGTAGCTTTATTTCCAACTTTTTGAGGAACCTCCATGCTGTTTTCCAGAGTGACTGCACCAGCTTACATTCCCACCAACAATGTAGGAGGGTTCCCCTTTCTCCTCATCCTCGCCGACATCCGTTGTTTCCTGACTTGTTAATTTTAGCCATTCTGCCTTGTGTGAGGAGATAATCTCATTGTGGTTTTGATTTGTATTTCCCTGATGATGGGTAATGTTGAGCAGTTTTTCATGTGTCTGTCAGTCATTTGTATGTCTTCTTTGGAAAACTGTCTGTTCATGTCTTCTGCCCATTTCTTAGCTGGATTACTTTTGGGGTGTTGACTTTGATGAATTCTTTATAGATTTTTGGATACTAGCCCTTGATCTGATGTCATTTGCAAATACCTTCTCCCATTCCATCACTTGCTTTTTAGTTTTGTTGACTGTTTCCTTTGCCATCCAAAAGTTTATCTCAATGAAGTCCCAACAGTTGATTTTTGCCACTTTTCTCTTGCTTTTGAAGACCTGTCTAGGAAGAAGTTGCTGCGCCTGAGGTCAAAGAGGTTGCCATCTGTGTTCTCCTCTAGGAATCTATGGTTTCCTGTCTCACATTTAGGTCTTTCATCCATTTTGAGATTACTTTTGTATGTGGTGTAAGAAAGTAGTCCATCATTCTTCATATCGCTCTCCAGTTTTCCCAACACCATTTGTTGAAGAGAGGTCTCTTTTTCCATTGGATGTTGTTTCTGTTTTGTCAAAGATTAGTTGACCACATAATCATGGGTTTACTTCTGGATACCTTATTCTGTTCTTGTTCCATTGACCTATGTTTCTGTTTTTGTGCCAGTACCACCCTGTCTCAATGATTATATTTTGTAATATGGCTTGAAGTTGGGG